TTAATTTTTTATATTTATATTTAAATACTTTTGAAAGTATTTTGTAATTAAATGAAATGTGTTTGATTACAGCAACCTCCTCAAGTATAGACAGAAGTGCTCCCCTTGAAATTGGTCTTCAGCGGTCCACTCAAGGTACAGTTTAACTAAAAGTCACTTTGAGGTTTATTTTATGAAAGTCTACTACAATACTACATTTTTAATGTTCTCTTTTTCTTGTAGTTAAAAGAGCATCAGATGAAATATTAGCAGAAGCAAAGAAACCAAGAATAGAGGTAATAACAGTAACTGTCATTGATACAAATTGGGAGTGGTGGTAAATTACAGTACCACCACAGTACAGTATCTCTTTCGGTAGCAATTGAGTTGGGTTACCTGTCCTCTGGGTGCACACAGTACTTCTGTTAGTGTGAACATGAACTGGTAAGAGCTAGAATTTAAGCCTCTGGTTTAAACTTGGAATTTTAGTTGCTAGATGTATGTTGTCGTAAGAAAGGGGAAGGCTTGACCACGTATCTAAGTACCTGTTCCATTATAACCTGTTTGCTAAGAGCTATGAGATTTGAATAAAAGTGTTATTTAATGGGTGATTATGGTTATTTGCCATCCATGAGTTGGCATTGTAGCTTAAATGCCAGTCTTATCTCTATCAATGGATACTTATTTTACCTACTATTTTAGTCTCTTTATAACAGTGTATGAAACTGTCCCTGGGATTTCTAATTTTCTGAAGTTGTGTCTTAAGCAATGGATGGTGTATTTTATAAGTACCTCTTGAATAGAAGCGAAGTGTACAGTTATCACGCACATTGTATTACTTACCTCTGCCTGGTTTTAAAAACTGACTTACTGTTTCTCTTTTTTTTTTTTAAAAAAAAACTGTGTTCATTGAGTTTTCTCCTCTGTGAGTTACTATAAATCTGGCTGTACATATTTCCAGTGTGCTGAGGCTTTAGATTTCCTCTTAGAAGAAGAGTTATCAAAATACATCAATTCCCTTATTCCAGAATTAGATTTGAACATTGTGCTTTTCTATAATTGCATAAGGATCATAAAAGCTTTATGCTTTCTTAATGGCACATGAGCATCTGATTGCTGTGAGGAGACCTGTTGGTGATCTGTACATTTTTGTTCTACATTACCTGATGTGGTTGTGGTGCCAGTATGTTCTGAATCTTCATCATAATTTGGAGAACCATGAATTCTGAATGAGCTTATGGTCATCTTCTGTTTGTTTTGTTGTGGTTTTGAAGTGTCTGAGCAAGGCTGATTACGAGGGAATGGTGGTTCTCTTATTCTTCTAATTATACATTGGGGTTCTTGAGAGTAGATTTCCAATTGCTGTACAGTTCACACTAATGCACAGTTCACAAATACTTGGAAATAAAGATTGTCCGTGCAAATGTAAAAAAATAAATCTCCGAATAGCTTTAATTCTAGTAATATTTATTCAAGAAAATGCACAAAGAATGTAAACATTACCATTACTGCTAGGATGAAGAGTGTGTGCGCCTTGACAAGGAGCGGTTGGCAGCTCGGTTGGAAGGACATAAAGAAGGTATTGTGCAAACGGAGCAGATCAGGTAGGCATACCTCTTTTTCTTATGGATAATGATTAATTAAAGGACTGATAACAATTCTTGTGCTATTCAAGACACCCAGTTTTACTTCTGTCCAAGAGCTTTCAGTGGAAGGCTCCCTCCCTTTGGCACTATCATCATTAATGCTTGAGAAGGCAGAACTTCATGCCTGGTCAGACTCATGTTCTTGTGTGGGAGTTCAGATGTCATGGTGTGAGGTTTGGTTTGTCTTGAGAAGTGAGCAGGCAGTTGTCTCTCTCTCTCATCAAGTCTGCCACTTCTGTTTTCTTCTACCTTGGTGTTTATCTAAGCAGTCAAATACAATGAGAACTGCAAGGGGAAGCTGATTCTCTCTCAGTATTTCAAAGAAAAATACCCTGTATTGAGGAATGTCTTGCATGCAGAAGGAGCAAAACATTGTGAGAACAAATCAGAGGGTAACACAACCTCTGTTTGATTCCCTAGAGAGGTGAGCTTCTTGCCTCTGAAGAGACTGTAGAATGCCAGAGCATAATGCTGTAGTAATTCGTTATTCAAATGCTTAAAAATGTGCCCATCACCTTTCCTTTTCCGTTGTATCCATCCAGAAGTTCACAGAGAATGACAGCTGGTTTTGAGTTTTACACCATATCTTCCCAAAGCTAGGCAGAAGTGAAATTATTGCAAGACCTTGTTGATGCTAAGATCTTGGGCTCAGTAGGATGAAAAATACACCTTTTCAATATCTTCTTCCTCTCTCTCACATAGGTGTTCTTAAATGGAAACTATAGGGAGGGGAAAAAAAAAAAAAGAGATTGTCATATCTGACTTAAAATCAGAAAGTCTGAGGATCAAAGAATCAAAAGTACACACATTGTTTTGTGTAAGCTACTAATTTGGCTACTAGCTTGAGTGAATCACAACGTTTTGTTCTGGAGTTTTGAGACAGTGTTTCAGTGAGGATTACTGAATGTTTATTCATAATTACTTTTTATTTTGTATTTGCAGATTTTTTTGTTGCTGAATATACAAGACTGCCCTTTTAAAGTACAACTAACATTTACAGGCAGTGACTTGTGTTAATTTTTCAATGTAATCTCAAAACATTTTCATAAAATTGAATTAGCTGTGTGCGTTCAGGATTGTGCAATTCAGTCCTTTTTTTAAACAATAGGACTCACTGTTGGGCAACCAAAGTCTATGTGTACAATTAAAAGCAAACAGGTAAAGATGTTGCACTTTTGGACTGAACTGAGCTACCACAAACACAGATTAAGGTGGACAAAGTTACCACCATCTGTTGTTTGTTTGGCCTACATGCTCTGAAAAGGTAACACATCTTCCAAGTGGCCAAGTTGATGTAATAGCACTTCAACTGAAATTTAGATTAGTGCTTTTAAAGCCTCAGAGCAGCCAGAGATTGGTTGACTGGACACAAAATTGTAATCCACTAAAAATAACAGGGCGCTGAAATTCAGATAACACTGTAAATGGAAGGGTTAATCCTGGTGCTTTACATTTGCAGTCTTTACTTCTGCTTGTTATAGTTGGGATTTTTTGAGTTTTTTTGTGCTAATATTGGAATGGAGTCTTTTGTCAGAAGTTTGATTCTCATGCCCAAAACAGCCATGCCAAGCTCATGTAACCTTCAAGTATATGTAAGCTGACTCTTGTGATTTATAGCATTGCCATAAACTTTAAGCAAGATGGAGTTACTTATTCACAGATTCTTTCAGAAGAGTTGTTTGTGCAATTATTTAGTCTCTTCTGTTATTTTTGCTCCTTTAGGTCCTTATCTGAAGCCATGTCAGTGGAAAAAATTGCTGCTATCAAAGCAAAAATTATGGCAAAGAAAAGATCCACTATCAAAACTGATCTGGATGATGACATAACTGCTCTTAAACAGAGAAGTTTTGTTGATGCTGAAGTGGATGTCACCAGAGATATTGTCAGCAGGGAGAGAGTATGGAGGACAAGAACTACAATCTTACAAAGCACAGGCAAGGTAATGCTCTAGATAGCAAGCTGTTTTATGATCCAAATGACAAACTGCATTTCCCGTTTTCTGTATCTCTACCTTGTTAAAGATAGATAACTGGGGTGATTATGTTCAGTGCTGTAGGTGAAGGTAGGCTTTGGAGGGCTCTTGGTACAGTGACAGAGTTCATTCTTACCTTATTACAGTAAGCCTAAAATACATCTCAAAATACTTGCATCAGCCATTTAAAAAATACAAAGTACTTGCTTAATTCCTCTTAAACAAAGCTGGCTTGAGCCTTACAGTTGGGACGGCTCTATGAAAGTACCTGTGGGTTTGAAACAGATGAAAGTGGGGAATAGCTGATAGAAGTAGCAACATATGTGCATTGAAAGTCCAAAGGCTACTGAGCTGTGGAAAATGCCAGAGTAAGGAGGGGAAATGCTAACATGAACAAACTCAGAAAGTGTTACCATGAGGAGGCTCTTCTGTATATTTTTGTCCCTTTATGCTCCTTTAATCCATACCTTCAGCTGCCCTTTGTTATGAGCCATCTAGAACATGGCTGCAAGACAGCTGACAGTTTGCCCTCTTTGGACAGTTAGGCTTTCCTTAGTACAGTGATACTTGGCACTAAATTTCTCAAGGAAGCAATTTCTAAAAGATTGCAAATTTTTGTTTTCCTGAGGTTATTGTCATGTGGCATTCTTAGCCATCACTATTTCTTTAAGTACTGTCACAGGGAAATAATGTTTAGAAGTAAACGAGGTCCCAATTTTCATTTAACTTATTTTTAACAGTATTTTACGTTGGCTCCTTTACACAACCTGGTCTCATGGCATTAGTGGTAGAATAATTTCATTAATGGGGTAATTACTAGGTGTGTGGCAGGTACCTGCATGCCACATGCAGAGCTTCAAGTGTATGAGATTTTAGCAATCTCACTGCTTAACAGTTGATAAATTGGTAAAAGCCTTTAACATTTTAGTCATCAGAAATGTTCATACTGAAGGAATCTGGATAGCTTTTCCTCCTTTAGAAAATCATTCATAGGATTCATATTTTTACATGTCTTCCAAGGGAAACTTGCAAAGATATGAGGGAGAGTTGAATGTTTTATAGTAGTATCCTTGTAAAATAGTGAAATGAGGTAGTGATTTTAAGCAAAACCTAACATGGGGAGAAAGACGAGAAGTAAGAGATCAAGTTTGTTCTTGGACTCCAGCATGCAGTTACTTTGACTAGCCTGACAAAAATAGCAGGGATAATATCAAGTCTTTATTTCTCTTCGCGCAGGATTGCAGAAGCATTCTTGATAGCATGGACAGAAATCATCGAAACTTAATGTTAATATTTTTGTACAAGTAACAGTGGCAGTAAGTAGATGGGGAAAACATAACTTTTTACCCAGGGCTGTGATTTATCCCAGGGTTTTTTTTGTTTGTAGGTTGTTTGGGAGGGTGTTTTGGTTGATTTTCCTCACCCCTCTTCTGCTCCTTCCCTCCCACCCCTCCCTCCACCCCCCCAACCTTTGTGAAGAACTTCCCAAAAGTTGTTGGGAAACTCAGGTATATTCTCTGTCACGATTTGACCCCAGCTGGCTGCCAAGCACCACACAGCTGCTTGCTTCATCCCCCCCCCCCACAGCAGGATGGTGGAGAGAATTGGAAGAATAAAAGTGAGAAAACTCATAGGTTGAGATGAAGATTTAATAGGTAGAGCAAAAGCTGCACATGCAGGCAAAGCAAAACAAGGAATTTATTTCAGCACTTTGGCAGGCAGGTGTTCAGCCATCCCCAGGAAAACAGGGATCTGTAACATGTAACTGTTACTTGGCAAGGTAAATGCCATCACTCTGAATATCTGCCCCTTTCCTTCTCCTTCCCTCTGCTTTATATACTGAGCATGATGTGATATAGGGTCAGCTGTCCTGGATGTGTCCCTTCCCAGCTTCTTGTGCACCCCCAGCACACATGCTGGTGGGATGGGGTGAGAAGCAGAAAGGGCATTGACTGTGTGTAAGCACTGCTCAGCACTAATGAAAACATCTGGGTGGTATCAACACCATTTTCAGCACAAATCCCAAACACAGCCCCATGCCAGCTGCTGTGAAGAAAATTAACTATATCCTAGCCAAAACCAGCACAGTGTTTTCAGGCAGATCACTCCTTATCTGCTTGCCTATTCATTTAAAGAATTTCAATTAGGGAAGCATGATACCTCTCCTCAAATGCTGTTTTGAATTTTCTCTAAGATGCTTGAATTGCTCATGTGTCTGATAATTCTTTTTATGGTAAATTTTTACTGTCTGCTTGGTATAGATTTATCTACAGTCTCTTGAATCATCCTAGAATGTTTAAAAACAAAATTGACATAAATAGTAGTTTACATAACATATAATGTGAGAGTTTTTAACTTCTGAATTCCTTTAGACTTCCTGGGTGAATGGTTAGAAAAGTGTGAGCACCCCAAAATGTCAGTCTTACTGTTTCTTTCAAAAAATTGCTTCAGTCTGAGACAGGTCCCCAATCTCTCTTCTCCACAGAGAAAAACTAATGTGTGTGAACTTTCCCAGTCTTCTCTGTAGTAAACGAAGATGCAGAGGGAGCTTAAGGTGCAAAAGAACACCAGGAATATCAGGCCACAGCAAAAAGAATCTGTTTTCCTTATTAGCTTTCTGGCAGGTTTCCTCTAGTTTTGATGCTTCTCTAGATTCTATATATGGCAATAATCCTAACAGTATTTATGGAGCGTTTAGTGTTTCTCCTTGTGGGCACATTTTCTGATTCCTTTTAATTGTAAGTAGGTTTTTGTGCTTTATAGAACTGTTCCAGGATTTCGTGGTTTTATTATTTTTTTTTAAATCTCCAGTGATGTAGTGTGTTTTTTTTTTTAACATCTTCAAAAGTTTTCATGATACTTGTGTTCTGCCTTTCTAGATGCTGGGTTTAATTAAGTTTTGATAGCATCTTGGTTATGTAGCTCCCGTTGCTGAAATTTAAATAGTGGTGGAGTTTTTCTTGGCTGTAGGGTTTTTTTGTTGTAAACAAGAATGTTGAATTTGAGTGCATTGATGCTCCTGTTGCAAAACAGTCTTCAGCAGCTACCTCTCTAAAGTAGGTACTGTGGACTAAATCAAGAGGTGCTTTTCCTTTTGTGATTACTTGGCCAGTTGCTCCAAGAAGTAATTCTTTTGCTATCATAAGCGATTGATCGCTGCTTCAGTTCCCTTCTTGACACTTATCCAATCTACAGAGTAACTGCAGTCTCTGTTTTCTTCTTGGAAGTCTTTGTACTGTCCCCTTCATATTGGGAAGATAGCTCTAACGATCTAATGGTTTGGGACAGGTTATTGGTTGTCATTCATCGTTTATTTTACTCCAAGCTTTCTATAATGCGTCACACAGGTCCTTTATCTCTACAACCCCTTCTGTTACGGTCTTGATCAGATGTTGCATTGATCCCTGCTATCTTCTTGCTGATTTTTGTGACGTCCTTACTGTCTGTAAAATCAGACATTTCAGTTCGCATGTCCTCTCTGGTTTTTAAGATTTCTAGAATTCGCATTTATCTGCTTGCTTATTTTTGTTTTGCTTAGAACTTTTTTTTTTTTTTTTCCCCATAGTTTTCTGCCTGATTATTATGCAGTTCTACCTTCTTTTGGAAATAGTGTTTGATTTAATCACTAGTCAATGAGTCATCCTTCACTGTCTGTTTTAAACATCTGTCGACCTTCTTCAAGTCTGTAGTGTAGCCTTCTAGATTTTATGAATAATGTGACATTTTTATGTAATCACTATTCACAGCCAAACTGCACCTGTTTAGTCTAAGTGGTTTTTTTCCCCTCTCAAAGTAGCTTAATTTTGGAAGTATTTGGGAGGATCTGTATTTTAAAGCAACTTAATTTCAGGTTTTACTGAAGGCATGCAACATAATGTTACTGTCAGAGGAGTGAGTCAACTGACAGTCTAGTCAACTGAAAACTTAGGTTTCAAAAGCAACTGAAGTATTTGATGCTGGAGCTGCCTCTGAATTCCTTTACCATTATTTTAATAGTCGCAACTGCTGAGGGCTTTAAGAAATTAATAACTTCAGTTTGTCCTCACCCTTCACAAAATCCAGTTCTCATTATTAATCTTCACAAACATAAACAAAAATTGGGGTAAAGGAATTGCTGTCTTCAGACCCAGTTCAGCTGGATGTGCTGGGAGAGAAGCAGTACGGGTACAGCAGTACAGTACAGGAGAGAAGTTTAAAGAAGAAAAAGTGGTAATTATTTAACCTGTAGATTGATATTTGGACAAGGTGTCTTGCTGCTGTGTCTCACTGGTGGGTTTTTTTGGTGTCTTTTTTGTATAAAGCAGATAGAATAATTTTGAATGCTTACTCAGACCATGTGTTAGTAGGGTATGAATGAGTTCTTGATAATGTAGTCCTGCCATTGACTATGGAACCTGGTTTTGGAGAGTAGGTTAAGTTTGTCAGATCTGTATCTGTTAAATCAGTTTTAACTGGAATATTGTCTGGTGAAGATAGTCAGTATTGCCACTTTTCAAATTGTAATTCTTAGGGGAAAATACTAGCAAAATATTACTCTTGTAACTTCTTTATTGAGAGAACCTTTGTATGTAGAACTGTGTGTCTTCTCCAGTAGCTGGAGTTTTGAACCCGTACATGGAATATTTACCATCATAAGTATTTCAGGTGTTAAATTTTAATTTACTATTTTACAGAGGTTTCAGTTCTGTTGTGTTTATGTTTTTAGATAAATATCTGGCTGCTTTGTAAAACAAACCATTGAAAACCTAGAAGAAATTGGGTTTAAACTGAAATTGATTCCTTCATGTCCTTCCTGTTTCTTTCCTTCCTGAATAATCCTTTGCTTTTTATAATCTCCTGTAGCAGGCTTCAGCATTGTTTTCTGAAGGAAAAACTTCCTCATTCCATCTCCGTTAAATTTGTTCCTATAGAAAGAATTCAAGATCCACAAACACATTTAAGTAGCCTAAACAGGGGTTTCAGCATTC